AGGGTTTGAATATCTAATTTTATAGTCACAATATCCCCCTAAAGTGATCAGAACTAATAACAGCTCTATTTTTTTATTATTATTTTGTTGTTGTCAATCCTCACCAGAGGATATTTTTCCCATTGATTTTTAGAGAAAGTGGAAGGAAGGGATGGAGCGAGGGAGAAACGGAGGGAGAAGCAAAGGAGGAGGAGGGAGTAGGGGAGAGAGAGAGAGAGAGAGATCCATGTGTCATCGATTGGTTGCCTCCTACATGCCCAGGACAGGGCCTGAAATGAACCTGCAAGCCAAGCACATGCCCTTGACCAAGAATCTAACCCAGACCCTTCAGTGTGGGCCAACACTCTGATCACTTAGCCACACAAGCCAGGCATCAGCTCTATTTTTGAAATGAGAAAACAGAGGCACAGTGGTGCTAAATAGTCTAAAAGCTTATTTTGGACATGAGCGGCAATATTTTGTTACTTTTTTTAGATAATTTGTTCATCAGTTATCTTATCCTCCCGGTGAATCACACATTAAACCTGAAAAGCTACACTCAAGCTAAATGTTCATTAAAACTAATACCAACACGGCTGTCTAAGCACTACAATGAAGCAGTAGAGAGGCTCCAAACAACAGGAAGTCTATGATTAACGTAGACACAGACTCACAAGTTAGATTTCCACCTGTTATCACACACGCTTTGAAATAGCATCCCCACCTCCTTAGCCCAATTGCCAAGGGCAGACTATATAACGAACCATCTGTACTCTAACAGTTAGAGCCAATTGAGATGGGCTGATGATACCAAAGAAATCTCATCTTTTTCCATTCTTTTTTCCCCCTGTGTGCTGCTGAGTAACATTTTTAATTGCATGATAAATTGAAAATGTTGGCAGGAACTTAACTTCTGTAAAATTGGAGCTATTTTTAATGTTACTTTGATGGTCTTTTCTGGTGGATTTTTTTACTGCTTTGCCTGCAACAGAAGGAAATTTGACCCTATGAACGAAACCTCTAGGAGGCAAAGCCTGCAGCTCCACAGCGTTGAGAAGAGACAAAGATCGTCTGCCTCCCTCCAATGATCTGACTGAACTGTTCCATTATCCCTTCTTGAGGACAAGCTGAAAGGCAGATCTCACGGTGGTCCAAGGACCAGAGTAATAGAGTAACTGAAAGGATGGCCGTTTTTAATGGAAAATAGGTGTGATTTTCCTACTGAAATGTGAAAAGCATTCAGTAGAGAAACTTTTGTTCCTGAATGAAATGCCACCAAACCTTACAAAAACTGGTCAGCTGATCTATTCTCGCACCAGGCAGGTGATGTGTCAGCTCAACGAAATTGCTTTTTAATGATTATGTTGAGCTTGATATGTTTGCTAACTACTATCTCCCCTTGTAACCAGATATAAATCCTCCTATTTTGCTGAACACTGGAAAGTACAATGGACTATTGCTTGGAAGTCCCATACTTCAATTAAGTTTTGAAAGATGGGAAAGTTCCTAGTTAGATTATAGTGACTCTTCAATTAACCATCCTTACATAATGAAATTCCTCTGTAACTTAGTTGGGTTTTTAAATGTTTTTCAATTACACACAGCGGTGTTGTCCTAGGCCAGACTCAAGGGCAACATTTCTATTTAGTAAAGGTGCGTACAACCTCAGAGAACAAAAATCTACACATAGCCTTTACATCTCCTTTGGGCATCTTCCTACCTCTCAAAGGTAAGCTCTTTATCCTGCTTCAGACCTCAGCTTCCTCTTTCCTCCTGTCACTGAGTCAGCCAGTATTTACTGAACATTTACTACACCAGGCACTGTACTAAGAACAGGAAATAAAATAGTATTTCCCCCGTGGAGCTTATAGCTTTGTGGCAGACTCCAACGAGTGAGCATTAATCCACATCATAGTGTGGAAAGTGCTCAGAAAGAGAACATTAAAGATGTGAGCACACACCAGGGCCCACAATTTCAGTGTGTATGTGTGTGTGTGTGTGTGTGCGTGTGTGCACGCACACGCAAGTATATGCTCATGTGTGCTTGCACATGTATGTGCACACACATGTGTCGGTGTGCATATGTGTCTGTTTGTGTTAAATTAGGGAGAGGAGAGCTCTTCAGTATAAGTGACAATTAAATTTAAGTTGGAAAGCTGAGAATTTAGCAAGACAAAGAGACAAACAGAATGCGTATGAAAACTCTGAAGAGACAGTACTAGCAATTACAATAATACTTGAGGAAAAAGAGACAGGCATAGCATTTACTATAAAATTACACTTTGTAAACACTATTCACATCTTAACTTACCTAACTTTCACAACAACCTTGTGGATAAGTACTATTATCTCTATGCCCATTTAGAGATAAGAAAACAGAGGTACAGAGATTACAAAGCTAGTAAATGGGAAGCTAAATTTGAAAAGTGGGCAATCTGGATCCAGACCCTCTAGTCTTCACTGATCTCTTATTCTCTCAGGAGACCAGGGAGTTGGGGGGACACAACTGAAAATCATCCCACACGGCGAGGGCCCAGAGTGCTTACTATTCTTACCCACTAACTAACAACAAAAAAAGAAAGAATCCAGTGTCAGTGGTTTATCCTTGTCGACTAGTTGTGCCTGAGTTGAGTGACAGGCTGCACTGCTGGCCCGTAACCACTTGGTGGTCTAAGTGTTGAACGCAGGGCTCTGGTGGAGCAGAAGGTGCTGGCAGGGAGGCTGTGCGTGCACGGGACGGGGGAGGGGGAGCTCGGCATTTTCTAATTTTCTACTCAATTAAACTGTGAATCTAAAATTGCTCTAAAATATTAAGCTTACTAAAGAATAAAAATGAATTATCAGGATTCATGCTAAAAAAGAAAGATTTTGTTTGTCCCCATTGAAGGAATTTTATGTACTAGAAGCCAGGGGGCAAGAAATTATGAAGGTAAATTTGAACTATTTCTTAAGCCAACTCTGAAATTAAAATTAGGACACTGTGAGTATGGAAGACACCTCTAGCCTTAGATAATCAGTTACCCCCTCCCCAAGTGGCAGTTAAGTCCAATCAGTCCTACAAAAATGTGTGTTGTGTTTCTATCAGTCCCTCCCAACCGATCGTCCAGTCCACCCTATGCTCCCAGGGAGGTCGCTGCCTGCCACAGCCTGGGGCACAATCCTCCTTCGCTCTCTGTCCCATCAGAGGGGTCTTTCCTTCCTGTGCTCCAATGCTAACTCTCCATGCTCCTGTGATTGGAGACTCTGAGATGCAACCTCATGTTTTCCAGCACATACAGCAACACTTTCATATTAAATAAAATGCTGGCAGGCTAATCTCCTTTTCCTTATGTCCTCAAACATATTTCTAGGCTTTGAGCTCTTGAATTATTACTCTGATGTAACTATGGGAGAGCACAGCAGGATCGCTAGAAAAATATATAGACATTTATATTAATAACAAAGGTAAACATAGGAATGACGAGGCGAGAGTCTTTAAACCCAGAAAGACTGGCTGTTTACATCATAACATTTTGATGTAGAGCAGTGGTTCTCAACCTTCCTAATACCGCGATCCTTTAATACAGTTCCTCATGTTGTGGTGACCCCCAACCATAAAATTATTTTCGTTGCTACTTCATAACTGTAATTTTGCTACTGTTATGAATCGTCATGTAAATATCTGATATGCAGGATGTATTTTCATTGTTACAAATTGAACATAATTAAAGCATAGTGATTAATCACAAAAACAATATGTAATTATATGTGTTTTCCGATGGTCTTAGGTGACGTCACCCCTGTGAAAGGGTCGTTCGACCCCCAAAGGGGTCGTGACCCACAGGTTGAGAACCGCTGATGTAGAGCTATGGTGAGTCTTAAAAACTAAATATTTAATTGTCTAGGCTGGTCACCTCAAAATATCCCAAGTGCCTCCAATGCATCGAAACTGAAAGTGGTCTTATCCATCCATCATAAGAAAGCCCACAGTTCTAAAATAGCTCCAATAATCATTCCCTTCCCTCATCTCCTCTAGCAATTACATGCCTACCATCTACTCAGTTGGTAACATTCACTTTCTGATATTGTTATTGACATGCATGCCTTGGTTTCAGAATTGGACCCCAAGTCATTATCTTTTCTTTCCTTGCACTTGACCTCTATCCCTTCCGAAGCCTAGGATGTGCTGCACTTGGCAGGCCCTCACAGATCTTTCTGGAATGATTACACTTACCATAATTAGGTCCTTTTTGTCAAAGAAGGAAATGCTATTGGTCTGATTTGTTATTTACTTAAATTTACTTAATTTTTTCTTCAGATAAGCCCTGTTTAGTAGTCACGTCTGGGTATCAAATAACCTGTGTATCAAAGTTATGTTATTTGGAACATACTATTTAAAGGCATCCTTCCTCCCTTTAAATAATGACAGTCTTTTTCCAAATCTCAGATACTCCTGACATATTCCAGGAGGGACTGAGAACATTAAGCAACAGTGGCAGCCACGGACTGGCATTCCCCTAGACCCGTAGTCGGCAAAGAGCGGCTCACGAGCCACATGCGGCTCTTTGGCCCCTTCAGTGTGGCTCTTCCACAAAATACCATGTGCGGGCACGAACGTACAGTGCGATTGAAACTTCGTGGCCCATGCACAGAAGTCGGTATTTTGTGGAAGAGCCGGTATTTTGTGGAAGAGCCACACTGAAGGGGCCAAAGAGCCGCATGTGGCTCGCAAGCCGCAGTTTGCCGACCACTGCCTTAGACTGTGACCGGACTCACATCTGCCATCTTTAAGCAGAAGAGACTAATGGTGTCTCTTTTTGCTTTGAGCTCCCACTTGAATGGTGGCAGGTGTGTAAGTTCTGTGGCCACAGTGATAGCTTTAGCCGCTTGTCCACAGATGCTGGGAAATGACAGAAGCAGGTTATCAAGTCTTTAAACCCTTGCCCCTTGAAAGAATCCTGTGAATTCAAACCTGAACTTCACACACTGCACACTTCAGGTCTTCCTCCAGAAAACTAATTTTTCCCCCAAAATTTGATCACCCACCTTGGAGTTCTCCACTCCGACTGTAGAGCTCCCGTCTCTGCTCTCTCAAGTAGGCGCTCATGCTGATGGCATGGGAGGACGATTCAAACCTGCATGAAACGCAGGGAAACAATGGTCAGGTGGTAACCAAACAGACAATGTGGGCTACGGATTCCAAAGTACTCTCCTCTAGTCTGTGATGCCCCCAGTGGGCCACACCAGGACACTCAGGCTACGCCACAACAGGCCAGGCATGGGCTGGCACAGATCTGGATTTATGAACCGGCTCCTGGCTACAGCTCCTCCACAACGGCATTGGGATCTTCTGCCCACTTTCCACTTCAGATGGCACAACTCTGATCAACTTTCTTTGGTCTCCAGATCCTCTGCCAGGATCCCTACACACACAGCAAAGAGTAGCTCATAAGGTCATTCTAACTTTGCCTGTCCAGCTCAGAAGCTATCGGTAGCTGCCAGCTGTCACACAGAAGTCCTGGATGCTCAGAGCAGACATCGTGCCATTCTAAGTCCCCCGTTAGAGGATTAGACAATGGGCAGGCTAGGAATGCTGCTGATTCAGACGTGGGGAACCTTTTTTCTGCAAGGGCCATTTGGACATTTATAACATCATTCGTGGGCCATACGAAATGATGGCCTTAAAAATTAGCTTGCTATATTTGGTCATTTAATTAACTCACCCCTAATGCCTTGGCAGGGACAGACCAAATGATTTCACAGGACTTATACGGCCCGTGGGCCGGATGTTCCCCACCCTTGAAGTACACCAAAAAAGCAAGGCAGCTAAATCCTCACACACAATACAGTTTCGAAAGGGCTTCCAGGCTCTGACCTGCACCTGCCACATGAAATGCTCTGAAACATACCAAGCTCCAGACGTGTGTTTGCCACACCTACCCGGAACTGTTTCATAGGGGAAGGCTCACAATAGAGAACACAGATCTAAAACAATAAATAGCAAAAACAAAAAACAAACAAACAAAAAAAAACCCCACACAAATGAAAATCACTATCTTAAGAGAAACTTGCAGGTAAGGAAGAAACAGTTAAAATTGTGACTCTATCAAACAGTAAATCCTCTGCTAAGTAGCTCCATTTCCAACCCAGTATCTTCAAAGGCAGAATACCAGGCTGACAGGAGAAATCCGTGGAAGAACTGCTGCCACTGAGGCGTAAACAGCACCACAATGGAAGAACAGCAGTTACAGAATAGGCTCCTGGCCACAAGGAGGGAGCACCATCATTTCCTTAATTCTGCCTCCTTTATCCATCCTCTGACAAGGACGAGGCGCACTAAGCTGAATGTCAGTCTGAGGGGGACACTTGGGCTGCTTGATCCTCTCTCTGCACCCTGCCAAGAACTAAGAGGACACTCACAGCCAGAAGGAAGGCCCAGTGTGCAGTAAAGTACCACCTGCCAGTCAAGTAGAAAAAGGAAGCCGCTGGCCTCCGAAATGCATGCTGACAGCTATTGATCAGAAATGACAAGGGAAAGAAATAAACTCTTGAGCAAAGAATGGAGAGGCCCACATTATACAATAAGAGAGAACTTAAACACACTTAATTAACCTTGGCTCGGGGCAATTAGAGGGAGCAATAAAGTCCTTCACGGATGTGATAAAAACAGGTTACAGCTCACCAAAATCCTCATCCTCATGACCTGATGTATTCCTTGGGAATCCTTTTATGTTTGCAACAAGTCACAGATTGGTACAATTTTACAGGAAAAGGGGCTCTAGAGATGACCTAGTCTCACCTCCTTATTTTGCAGCACAGACACGAGGCCCTCAAGCCAGGAGATCTGCTCCGGACCACAGGGCCCACCGAAGGTGGAACCCAGACTAAGAAAGGCAGATCTGAGATAATGGCCTATGCGGGTGAGGAGTTTTTATTTCTATGCAATAATAATAAATATGTGACAAATATTCACAGTCATTTATTCATTTCCAACATTTTATGTTTTCCAGGACCACAATTTCAGGATTGGCTAAATGTTTAAAAATGGCTGTGTGGTCTCAGGGGTGACGGTTGAGAGCATGAATCTAAAAACCCTGAAACCTGATTTCAGCACAACACCTACATTTAGGTGGCGGGTTGAGCTGGGAGAGGGGAGACAGGAGAGGAGGAGGACCCTAGCAGGCAGCATCTGAGGCAGTCTCGGTGTCCCTATCCACTACCTTTTCCTTCCACCGCCTTTCTTGCTTGCTGGCACAGCTCCAGTTCTACTGGGGGGTTCTGCTACCTGCCTCCTCTCTTCTCAGCAGTTCTCTTTCCTGTGCTCAGGAAAAGTGGCTCCCTCTCCAGCTTGAGACCTGTCCCCAGAGTGAACCTAACTGGTTTAAGATGACCACCCAGTCTACTTGCCCTTGCCAGGGACTACTTCAGGAATGGACAGAGACCCAGTCCGCGTCTCCTGAGGAAAACATGCAGAGGGGATCTGTCGCTGGCAGGAAAAATTAATGAATGTATAAGCAATAATTTAATTAATTTTAAAAGCATTTGAAGGGGCAGGTCCACTTGGGAAGACAGTTTGGCTGTGTCTTAAAGTTAAACGTGGTCTACCATATGCTCCTGGGTATTTACCCAAATGAGCTGAACACTTATACGGGACACAAAAACCTGCACATGAGTGCTTATATTAGCTTTATGGAAGCAACCAAGGCACCTTTCAATAGTTGAATGGGAAAATGGTGGTACATCCACACAATGGAATTATTCAGCGATACAGAGAGACCTACTGAGCTACAAAAGACATGAAAGGACCTTAAATGCATATTGCTAAGTGGAAAAGAAGCTTGAAAAGGCTACATATTATATGACTATAACTATGAAAGGCATTCTGGAAAAGACAAAGGTAGAGACAATAAAAGGGTTCAGGGAGCAGGAAAAAAGGAGTAGGAATAAACAAGTGGAAAATGGGGGGTGTTTAGGGCAGTGAAACTATTTTGTATGAGACTGTAATAGTGATCTATAGCATGATACATTTCTTAAAACCCGTAAAACTGTAGAAAACAAAATGTGAACCCTAATGAAAACAGTGAACTTCAGCTAATAATTATATAAATACTAGAGGCCCGATACACGAAGATTCGTACAAGAATGGGCCTTCCTTGCCCTGGTTGACGGCACCACCTTCGCTCTAGCCCTGAGCTGCCTTTCTGCCTTCGTTCTGGCGCCTTCCCGCCTTCCCACACTGCCCAGAGGCCCGGAGCGGCTGGGGCAGTGCGGAACGCCTGTGCCATCACCATGGCGCCTATATATGCAAATTAACCCAACAAAGATGGCCGGTTAATTTGTGCCATCACCATGGCGCCTACATATGCAAATTAGCCCAACAAAGATGGCCGGTTAATTTGCATACTCACTCCTGACTGGATGGTGGGCATTGTGAAGGTATGGTCAATTTGCATCTATCTCTTTTATTAGTGTAAATTGGTTCATCAAGTATAACAAATGTACCAGATTCATGCAAGATGTTGATAGAGGAGGTTACAGGAGAGGGGAACATAAGGGAACTCAGTGCACTGGCTGCTCCATTTTTCTAAAAACCTAAAATTGCCATAAACAATAAAGACTACTAATTAAAAACAGATTTATAGGCAGAATCACAGCCTACTTCCTGGCATCACCATTCTTACTAGAGTGGAAATAAAGGCAGAGAAATGGGAAGGGCCAAGTCCGTGATGACACCGTGCTGGTGAGGTAAGGAGTCCTCTACATTCATCCTTATTGTGTGAGATAATAACTGCCCCCGCTTTAATCTACTCGTGGCTCATATGGGGTTCTACATCACCTGCAGATGAAAACAGTTTTACTGATACTGCATCTAACCTCTGAATAAACTGTAAAAAGAAAAAAAAAAGAAATGCACTCAATAAACAGAATGGATTTTATTCTACTGTGAAAAGAGTAAATCTCCTCTCCTCTAGACACAAGATAAATGAAGTGCTGAAACTTTCCTTTATGATTAAGAACTCTATAGTCCACAATTTAAAAAACAACAACAAAAAAGCCCTGGCCAGTGTGGTTCAGTTGGAGGGTCATCCCGCCGTGCACTGAAGGGTTGCTGGTTCCATTCAGGTCAGAGCACATGACTCGGTTGCAGATTCGATTCCCAGGAGGGTGGTAAGGGAGGCAATCAGCTGACGTCTCTCTCTCTCTCTCTCTCTTTCTCTCTCTCTCTCGCGCGCGCGCTTTCTCTCTTCCAATCTCTCTAAAAATCACTGGAAACATATCCTCAGGTGAGGACTAAAAAAGAGAAAAGAACCTGCCCCCAAAAAAACAAATCTCAAAAGTGAATCAGTAAAAAATACTGGAGCTTCCAGTATTCCAAATGCGCGCTTTCTCTCTTCCAATCTCTCTAAAAATCATTGGAAACATATCCTCAGGTGAGGACTACAAAAGAGAAAAGAACCTGCCCCCAAAAAACAAATCTCAAAAGTGAATCAGTAAAAAATACTGGAGCTTCCAGTATTCCAAACACTGCGCTAATACATACTTCTGTAGCCACTTTACACACTTAGATTTACAGAAACAACTTCTTAAATATCTATTAACTCTTCAAAAGGACACATAGGTCTACCAAGATTTAAATGCTGCTTCTAGCACTTGCTAGCTGGGTAAACTTACATAAGTTACCTACCCTCTCTTGTGCTTCAGTTTGTTGTTGTTGTTGCTGTTTTTACATGTAAAATCGGATTAAAAATTGAACCCACACCTGTAAGGTCATAGTGAGTAAATAATATAATCCATGAAAATGGCTTCATGCCTTGGCTAGCACTCAGTAATGACTCAGTAAGTGTTAGCCAGTACTCCAGCTGCTGAAGTTTGATGTAACCTGAATTATGCTTGATACTGTTTGGAGTAACTTATCTGCCAGCGTATCTGGCAATAATAAGCACTCAATCAATGGTAGCTACTATTGTTGTCATTATCAATGTTAATAATAATATAACTGTTAGCTATTGCTAAGATAGTAATTAGAAGGAAAAAAGTCCAGATTGTACCTTTATGAAATCAAACAAAACCCAATACTACTTAGTTAGACAGATTTACATAACTTTATTAACAAAGGTTGCTTCTTAGCACTTGGGTTTTTCAAAGGCTGAAATATTACATTTCATTTCATATAAATTCCTCAGAAACAACTGGAGAGTGTAATTTTCCTTCATTATATATAAAGCTCCCCCAAAATAAACTCCTGCAGTTTTTTTTAAAGTTGTAGATAGTCCAGTAACCATATTCCAATATTACCACTTCCCCTTACAAAAAACTAAAGTATACAAAGTTAAATATACATTCACTTCCTATAAATTATTTCAAAACTTTAACTAAGTGAAGTAATGGCTGTCAATTAAGTAGCAAGTCCTGCCTGGATCTAACATTTCCTAACACCTGCTATATGACCAACAGGGAGATACTTACTTGAAAAGAGAATTTTTCGGCCTTTGAGGTTTCTTCTTGGCAAAAAAGGCTGCGAACTCCCGTCCAGTGCTGGCGTAACTCAATTGAGCTGATGGTTCAGAGGCCGTACGAGTATTTTTCATGTCCAAGTACTCAGTCAACAGCATCTGTAGAATCAGATAAGCAATGGAATACACACATTTAGAGGTGCTATCAGGAAAAGCAATTTTAAAGCATAAGAACCTAATTCTAAATCCTCATCCTTGCCACGTAGAAGTATAGTAACCCAGCTATTCGTATTTCCAGTGGTGGATCTGAGGAAGTTATTCTACCCAGAAGCCATCTACTCTCTGTCTGCATCAAAAACTAGGGGGGAAAGCGTGTAGTGGGCATTTGAAAATAGGAGTAAAATAAGAGTTTATATCTCACTTATATGTGGAATCTAATGAACAAAATAAACTGGAAAACAAAATAGATCCAGAGACATTGAAGCATGCAACAGACTGATGAATTTTAGATGGAAGGGGCAGGGGGCAGGAGGGAGATTAACCAAAAGAACTTATATGCATATATGCTTAACCTATGAACAGATAATGGAGCAGTGATGGCCTGGGGAGGGGCCTGGAAGGGGGCAAAGGTGGGGGGAGGAAGGGGAACATTTGTAATATTTTCAACAATAAAAATATTTTTAAAAAAAAGAGTTTATTTAAGCCAAACTGACATTTGCTGGAGAGCAAGATCTGAAAGGCTCTGAGGGAACATTTTTATTAAGGGTCTACTATGTACCAGGCACTGTGTTGAGTTTATCCTTTAGTCATAATTTAATCATTGATTATTCCAAATTATAGCATCATCAGCAACAATGACACAACATTTACTGAGAGCTTACTATGCCGCAGGCAAGGAGCTAACCCATTTAGATGTTTTTCCTCGTTTTAAAAGAGCAAAATTGTATCACGAAAGTTCTCAGATTATGAGGAGAAAAGGAGGCTCAGCAGAGGCTCAGGCATGCGGCGTGCAGCTGGGGGACTGGCTCTGGGTCCATGGTACCGGCACAGAGGACAAGCGCTCTACCCAGCCTGCTCAGAGGTGCCACAGGCCATAGCAGGTGGAGGGTCCTGGCCGATGAGTAATTTCTAGGGCCACTACTCATCTTAAGAGCTTCAAAGCAGCTAATAAACAAAAAACAGCTTTTGATCACTACTGTCAGTGGGTCCTCTTATAAAATGAATCCACTTTAGAGTCTCAGAGGTAGGGGCCTGGGCTAGAATCAACTGTTCCACAGATTGTAAGACCACTGTTCCCAGAAGTCCCCACTATTGCGAAAGGAAACAGAATAACTACCCTCGACTAAGCACATCAACTCATTTCCATAATCACCACATTTAAATCCTTCAGATACCCAAGTCCTATAGACATATAGGCAAGCAATTCTACCCAAGACTGAAGTAAAAACTTTTCAGAGACTCCGGGCTGCTGTGTAACTATTTATTCCTGCAGGTATATTTACATTCACTCATTCATTCATTCAGTGAAAGTCTGAGGACCATATTAAGCATTATCATAAAAAACATTTAGAAAGCACTCCATAAACATAATGCTGCCCCAAGTAAGTTTTAAAGCCATTATGTCTCTAATAGGAGAACACATCCACCACTGAGTACTTATTAAATATCAGACACTTTAAAAACAGGATCCTTCTCCACCCTAAAACCTATGAGGTGGAGGAGTTACTACCTGCATTTTAGAGAGGAAGAAAGTGAGAATCAGTGGTATTTAGAAACTAGCCTACATGCCTGGGAGGGATAAGGTTATTGGGAAATCTCTGTACACTCCCCTCAATTTTGCTGTGAACCTTAAACTACTCTGAGAAATAGTCTGAAGGAACAAATGAAACAAGCCTACATTTTGTAAGTATAAAAGCTGGCCTAGTTGACTCCAGAGCCCGTGCTCTCTTCCCCATGACACGTTATTCTCACTAAAAGCATAAAAACTGTCAATAAGAATGGCTGTAAGTGGCAGTAAATGGGCTTTATTTCATATTCTGCAAAATAAAAATTTATACTGGGAAAGTATAAAATATGTTAACAGATTGGTCAATGTTTTTTTATTTATTTACGAGGCCACTGGAATATTACTCAACATGATGATAAAGTAATATAATGACAAATATCATCTCTGTTAATACATCACTCAAACTGCCCAATAGTCAGGGAGTACTGAATTGGGTCTCTACGTTAGTAACTCAACTGAGGGACTCAATCTGTAGATTTGACACTGACACCAATAAAGTTTGTAGGAATCTGTGATTAAAAGAAGGCTAGTAAACCATAAGAGAATATCAAACTGATATAACATAGGAAGACGTCTGGTTTTAACACCAATATGACAGAAGGATGTTTCTACCAAAGTATGAAATACACTGACCAAGTAATTCTTCTGAGGTATTTACTTGTCCTAGAATTCATTGAGTGGCCTTGTGCAATAAAATACTGACTAACCAGAATCTAACTGGCCAGCATCCTTAAAACCCTAATATTTTAAGATCACTGCTCTTTTTCTCCACATCAACAATTCCCCAATTTATTACTTCTCAACAATGTTAGTCTACTTCCAGCCACTGGCTTCTCCGTATCTATAAATATGTACTACTTCTACCTTCTCAACAAAAATCTTACTTTGGGCCCCATGATCTACCTATAACAGGGGTGGGCAACCCCTGGCACGAGTGCCAAACATGGCACGCCAATAACTTTTGTTGGCACGCGAAACCCTCTCTTATAATCTTCCATTTACAATTGTGAATCTTTGTTCTCAGTGATGAATTTTGTTAAGTTTCATAATAGGAGTAGCCTGACAGATGAAAGTAGTAGCTCGTGCATATCTCTGAAGGTCACGAAATATAAACCTGATGTAAAATCTCTGTCATCAGTGATGCAGCAACAAAAGTCCCACTGATAATATCAAACGAAGTCATAAAGTTTTCTGTCGGACTATCAGTGTACATGTATACATTAAAAAATAAATGTATTTTTCATCATCATATACTGTGTTTTTGTAGCTCGAATGAATTTTATTATTTCCTCAAGGTTCTTCACATACGTACACCTTAAGAGATATCAAGTAGGCGTAACATGTTCTCAAAAAATTGGGGTTGGCACGCAGAATTTTGAGTCAGAGATTTTGCTGGTTTTGGCATGCACTCACAAAAAGGTTGCCCACCCCTGACCTATAATCTTGTTTCCCTTTCGTATTTAGGTTCCAACTTTAGAAATAGCCTTCACACATATTTATTTCCTTTACCTTGATGTAGTTTACTCCTGATTTCTCTCACAAGCTCCAGTCCCTGATTTGGAATCATATATTTCACTGACATAGTCACATACTTACTGATAAAATCAACCCTAAATTCTGAAACCTAAATCATCCTCCCCCCAAAAATCAATAATTCCTTCTGTCTTTTTGTTTGCTTGTAGTCATTTATTCTCACTGCTCTCCAGATTTAAAACTTCAGAACCATCTTTTGATATTCCTTTATCCTTTGTATCCATAAGAGAGTTAGTCCCCAAGTCTATTAATCACTCTTTATGAACTATTATTTTGTCCCTTCCTGTCCATTCTGATAGCAACCAACTTAGTTCAACTCAGTTTTTCCTATTTAAATTTCTGCCTCTCACCTCTTACTCTTCTAGTCTTTTCCAGACACGATCAAGCACTTGCTGCTATTACCATAAGGCTACTCATCTCACAATGTACAAACATCTGATCTCAATATCTATTTCCAATAGTATCTTATTCTCCTCACAATGAACCCAACACTAGTCAAAATCACTCACTTTAGCCCTATTCAGTTTTGTTCAGTGGACAGAGTGTCAGTCCACAGAGACTGAAGGGTCACGGGTTCGATTCTGGTCAAGGGCACGTACCTTTGCTGCAGGCTTAATCCCCAACCCCCGACAAGGCATGGAGGCAACCAATTGATGTGTCTCTCTCATATTAATGTTTCTCTCTCTCTCTCTCTCTGTCTCTCCTCCTCCTTTCCACTCTCTCTAAAAATCAATGGAAAAATATCCTCCGGTAAGGATTAACAACAACAAAAAGAAAAAAATCACCCACTCTACTCTTCCCTGAATATGCCTGGGCCTTCCATTCCAGAATTCCTAACCTAGATTAGCCTCTCTCCTAAATAAGTCCTAACAAATCCATCCAAAAACAATTCCACTGTTTCTCTTCAATGAGTCCTTCCCAGGCTACTCTAGGCCAGTGGTCCCCTTTTCTGAATTCTTAAACTACCAATTTTACACATTATTCAGTAGGTATTCACCAAAACTGCCTAATAATATTAGTTATTTCATGAAAAATGCCTGACTAGCTGAAACATAAATGCTACAATCCTTAAAAGCACTATATTTTTTTACTCCCACCATAAAGCCATGCAACATACCAGAAAACCAAAAAGAAAAAGTGACTCACTGATATTTAAACAGTATGTGACAGGAAGCCTTGATGTATATATTATGATATACAAATTAGAGACAGTCTCCAAAACAGAATGAGCCCTATAAATGAGTCCTCAATATAAAACCTATAATAGAGCCCAGCCAGCATGGCTCAGTGGTTGAGCATCGACCTATGAACCAGGAGGTCACAGGTTTGATTCCCGGTCAGGAAACATGCCCGGGATGTGGGCTCAATCCCTAGTGGGGGTTGTGCAGGAGGCAGCTGATCCATGGTTCTCTCTTATTATGGATGTTTCTATCTCTCTCCCTCTCCCTTCCTCTCTGAAATCAATCTATATATATATATTTAACCTATAATAGAAGTAAAATAAAAGAGGGAAAGGTATAATTTTATTCATAGGCTTTGCAGTGTTTATTTTCTTGATGTATTTTGCACCTTTTTCTCAATACCATTCACCACCAGCAGGAAAATACTGCTTTAAAACAGGTAAAGTGTGATTTTTACACCCAAATTGGTAAAAATGCATTTTTAAATATCTCAAAGAACAAATAAGCTCCTATTCCTAAAATGCTTTAAATCTGGCTTAATTAGGCTAAATCTTCTACAATAACCACATAAATATAAACTATGACCACATAATTTCTTGGTGATTCTACATCATTGTGGATAATGTAGTGCATCTGCTAAATTATACTTGAATATCCTA